TGCCATCTTCCAGGAGGTTCTGTAGCATTTGGCGAGCAAGTTGGGTGTAGTGTTCGATTCGTTGGTCAACATAGTAACAGGGTAGCCCATTTGGTGGCTCGAAAAGCCCTCTCTTTGTACCCGATAGCGTGGCGTTCGTTTAATTTTGTGGCCTGTTTGAGGCACATGATGTAATGGTCTATTTTTCTATATCAATATATGATTATCTTTGTAAATAAAGCAAGGTTTAAAATGAAATGCATCCTATCTATCTCGATCTTTTACTCGGTGTTTGGAGTTGGTATATGACATAGTTGTCTCGCCGACTTCTTGTTGGCCGATTCAACCATGTACAATAGGTACCAGTCACCAAACTGGCTGGAAAGCGTTCTGTATTAAACTTTGGTCAATATCGATTCAATTGGGTCCATCCAGGAATACCAGTCTGTTAGATCAAAAGACCAGATTACAGTATTTTCACGCAGGTCCTCCAAAAATAAATACTCATTATGGGATTTGAACCAATTATCTCATGTTCACTAAGAAAAGGATGATCCCCTATGCATTTCATTCTTTCGTGTAGGGTTGCTTGCTCTATAATCAGTGGCGGAGCCACTTGGAGAGGAGGGGGTGCTTTGCACCCCCCTTGGGTTTGGAGAAAAAATTTCCGAGTAGGGGTATATACAAATTCGAACCAATGACCATTCAGTTGCAGGAAGAATTTCTTATCATTTCGATCGAGTGAGTTTTGTTATGTAATGCACTTTCGTCTTTATTTATAGTAATAAATTGTTGTCTTTTGTTTAAATTCGCTCTTTTTTTTTAGCTCTACAATAGAGAAATTTCTTGTCTTTTGTTTAAACAAAGTTGAAAGTGAAGAAGTACCAATTGAAGTTCACTTGTTTGTTTCACAAAATCAATTCCAAGGTACTTCTGAGTTTTAATTTGTAATATTTGATGAATGGAAGTCTTGATTATGTACTGAACTTATTTGTTTGACGTTGTAACCGGTGTACGTGAAACTATTTTAATGTAATTGTGTGAATTTAGAGTATTGCGTTGTTGACTTTTTGTTTAATTTAAAGTTGACTTTTCTATTGTATAGGTGATTTTTTATGATATGATAAAGACACCCCCTTGGCCAATTTTCTGGCTCCGCCACTGTCTATAATCTTCATTCTTTTTTTTATCCTCTAACTCAAAATTTCATAAGAGTGAAAAATGGAAAGACATAAACACCTCATAATCAAGTCTCGTCTTTTTTATTATAATTATGAATGTAACATACCATGATCATTGTCATTGTTGCTGCCCAAAAACTATATTAATAACCTGATACTTAATCTACGGATAAAAGCTTGTAAGAAAAAATTACTGATAAAGGACACAAACAAACACAATTGGTATACCAATTACCAAAACCTAAACCACTTGATCAATAGACAAAATTTGAGTTTCGTTGTTATTGAGGGCTTTGGTGTAAAACTATTTTCTCAAATTTATCCAACTCCAACATCCATCCATCCAACACCCAATCCAACAATAACTATATGGACGTTCCTTGCTAGCACCCACTCAACCTTCTATTTGCTGGCTCATGCGCAGCTCACGGGAGGACCTGTTGGTCTTTTACTTTAATTCAAATGGGCCTCTACGCCATCCACCTATTTACAAGCAGGGGGTCTATGTTACAAGCAGGGGACGGAAGAAAAAAAGAAGAAAAAAAGAATTTGAAGGTTAATTAAACTTATAATATGAATAGGATGGTTAATTAACTTATAATATGAATAGGATGGTTAATTAACTTATCAAGGTTAAGGGTTCTGCAAATCATATAATTAAATATTAATAATTAACCAAACATTTCCTGTATTTTTTATTATTAGCAAATCTTTCAAAATACAAAATATTAACCAAAACTTTTGTAATGCATCAAAATATTAGTTATTTTCTGTCATCATTAATAATTTTGTAACTCTTTTTTTAGTTAAAGTACTAAAGTTTGGAATGTTGTCCTTCATCTGTCTCTTCCAATTTCCAAGTTAGTATCATGTTGCCAAGTCAATATTACTAACAAAACTGTTAACTGGAAGTTCACATTTGGCTAATATTTTTTATTTTGAAAGTTTTGGCTAATATTTAAAAATGCGGGAAAGTTTTGGCTAATAATTAATATTTAAACTAATATTTTTATATTATTATTAATGTCTAATTTTTGTAGTTTGATGTTTCGAAGATCACAATGGAGAGTCATCCAAACAATCAAAAATTATCTCAATTCAAGCATACAAAATTAAATGTAATTACATATATTTTTATTTCTATAGTGCTAGAAATCTTACAATACGTGTTATTTAGAGAACAACTTAGAAACTCGGATAAATAGATTGTTAAGGTCCATCAAACTTGTAGGAAATTTTTTTAGTATTCTTTGGGTGATGCGTTTTGTGGACTTTATAGGTTATTCACGAGAAATTTCAATCAACCATAGTTTTCATTGTGTTGTAGGCAATGCAAAGTGAACCTCCTTCCTCGAAAGCGACAGTTCAGTTGAATATGCTATTGTAAGCAAACGCTTCGATGGGACATCATTTTTTTACATATTGGAGACTATAATTGGATCTCCTTTTTTGTTTAAATATTTCTCATTTTTATTCGTTGTTCATATTATCATTGCAACAAAGTATTTACTATCTTCTCATAGGGTATAAGCTTCTATATGCTTAACTATATTTTCATGGGCAAGGATTAGGAGCATTTATAATTAATATTTTTATTACTATATTTTTATTGTTTAGTTAGGGAAAGTAGTTTTGTGAAATTGTAAAAGTGATTTTGTGAAATTGTAGCAGAGTGTGAGGCGTGTGTTTATTGTACAAGATTTTTGTACATATTTTTATTTAGACATGTACATCACTAGGCAAAAAGAATAAAATTATCACCAAAATGGATAAAATCAGTATATAGAACGCTTTAAGATTTTCATAGACTTTTACTTTATAAACGTTTCGAGTTGGGTAATGTCTATTTTTTATCCAAACCTTTTTCATATTCTTTTATATTATCCAAATTTATGAAAATGTTATTAATTAGCCAAATCTTTCATAATGCATCAAAATATTATGCATTTTTACGTTATCTTTAAAAAAATTGGAACTATTTTTCTTATTTAAAATACTAAAGTTTGGAATGTTGACCTTCATGTGTCTCTTCAAAGTCAGTATCATGTTGCCAATTCAATATTACTAACAAAATTGCTACCTGGAAGTTAACATTTAGCTAATTCTTAGTATTTCGATAGGTTTGGCTAATAAAACAGAACTTGAAAAACGTTTGACTAATAAATAGTCATTACCCTTATATGATTAAATTACTATTTTATTTCGTACTATCAAGTATTTGTTCAAATATATTAAAAAAACCCAAAGACAAAGAAATGACGTTTGTATTGACGAGGTTAAAGCAATTCTAGACAGTCGCTACATCACATCAAGTGAAGCATGCTGGAGAATTTTTAAGTTTGATGTTATTAGATGTACTTCACCTTCTGCGTTGCGTATGTCATGTGCCTAGGGAGAATATGGTAGAATAAGGAGAACCAAATAGTTGAAAACTCTATAACAAAAAGATGAAATATGAATGTTATTGCCATGAATGAAAATCAATGCACATTCTTCTAAGACATACAAATATTCTTTGTGGAGTTGCATCAATATTTCATATGGACTAGAAATTGAGAATGCGACAGATAAGGAAGAATAAGCTATGCATTGGAAGATTATATTGTCCTCCAACGGGCAAAAAAATATTTTACCCGCGCATGCTGCATTAGTCAGATACGTCATTTTTCTGGAGAAACTAGAACGGTTAATTGTATACTTCATGATTCCTTTCAAAAAACATGTTATGCTATTGGAGTTACCTTTTGAAGTTTTGGATATAGTGTAAGGAATTTGTTTGTCACAATTCTTATTCAATATTCACTATCAAGTGTCTAATGAATAATCTTTTAGAGGGAAAAATTGGAAATTATTAAGCGATGATATCATGTCAATGGAAGAAACGAGTTAAATTTATCCAATTTGAAACTTTTTACAGATGAGATCAAATATGTATACTTGATAGAGATAGATAAATTATTATTATTGCATAATTTTTGAATCTTTGAGCCGATTTTTCAGGTTTGCTTATTCCATATAGATTTAAGAGATTAAATTCTCGAATCAAATGATGACTGAGGAATTAAATATAATTACAATCCAAAAGATTTAATGAGTAATTAAATACTTTGTATCCAAAATTGAATTAACAGCATTCGTTGAGATTGTTTGTGTTGTGGAGCAAGAAAATGGAAACTGATTTTTTGTTGATAGATTTGGAGGTACATGAAAAGCATTTATTTGTAAGGTTATTAAGAAAATATTGTTGTGGATTGCTTTGTATGGCATTGTAGCTTTGCTAATGAGTGAAGGTAGAGTTGTCCATTCTCGATTCCACATTCCAATTAATTGTGACTCGGAAATGATCAACATGTCATATTGAACAAGAGAGTTAGCAGAGCTGATTCAGAATGTTTCTCTTATTATTTGGGATGAAGCTCCTATGACTCATAAGTATAAATTGAAGCAGTGGATAGAACTCTCAAAGACTTTTGCATGTGAAAAACCAAAATAGAGTGAGGGGTAAATGGAAAGGTTCTTCAAAAAAATTAAGGAGTCGGTAACAATGATTTTAATCGATGAGTCAGTAACATTGTCGGAAAACACTATAATGTCGATCCTTTTGCATGATTGAAGTATTTTAATAATTTGGATTCTTTTATGCTCTCAATTAATTTGAATGTTCCATAATTTGAAACTTTAGATTTTCTTATACTACCAAAGACATGTGTATATCCATACAAATTGCTACCATTGTTTACGTGATTGACAATTATATCCGGCTAAATGGCCGGGCCCGTGACTAGTACCCACGATAAGAATGTTATTATAAACTTCACTCACACTTACTTGCCACTACAAGATACACCTACCACCTCGAGTTACCTTATTTTGGAATGGAAGGAAGAAAGAAAAAAAAACTATGAAAAGATGGGGGACGAGGTGAGGAATACCAGCTAGAATTGTTAGCCGTCAATACTTACTAGCATTATCATAAATCAATCAGCCAGGATTTGCAAGTCGTTAATAGGAGGTAAAAGAGTAAGAAGACACTTAATTTAGAATCTCCCAAGATTAGCGGGAAGATTAATCAGGGGAAAAAACGGTCAACTAATACCAAAAATATTTGTTTCCGCGTGGGGACGGGACGAGAGAGAGAGAGACGGTGAGAAGTAGTGGCGTGTAGCATTTTTAACCAAAATGCATGGCACGCCATTGACAGCGCCACCACCGTCGGATGAGCTGACCGATCCATCGTTTCCGTCAACGAAGACCGAGTCATCAGGTAAAGAGAGAGTCTTTCATCGGACGGGGAAATGAGAACGGGAACACCGGACCACAGACTCATCACCTTCTGACAGTTGGGGAACGGAATGCTGAGTTGGCAAAGTGGGCGGGCCGGCGGGCGGGCACTTTTCCTTTTTTCGACCCAACCGAAAGTGAGCCAGCGGTGTCAGTGTTGCAGCACGAGCCGTCGATACGACATTTTAAAAAAAGCAACGGACAGGATGATTTGGGGGAGCGAATTTGAGGTTCATTTAAGCTGAATTTCACATTCCCCGAAAATTCATTTTAAAAAACAGGCCCCCTTCAACTCCCTTTCAGGCTTAGCTTAGCCCTCTCCTCTCTCTCTCACTCTCAATAGCCACATCCCGCCCTCAGCCGAACGAAACCAGCTGAGCCTCGTCGTCACCACAAACCCAACATCCACTCCCTGCGGCGGAGAATCCACCGGCCGACTAATTCCGGGCGTTCCCTTTCTTACCAGGTGAATTCCCAATCCATTCTTCTAACGTCTGTGGTGAGCTTTCTTCCTCCTGATAAATTTTTTCCGTGTTCTCGCCGTCCGGTCGTTTACAGATTTCGGCGATATTGAATATGCTCGTTCGATTGAAGAAAATTGGATTGAATTTTCGAGGCGCATTTGCTTCATTAATTCCTTGCTAATGATTATTACGATCTGATTTCTAAACTAAATTATCCTTGTATGATCCGATAACGGGAATGGTTGTGGATTTGACATTATTCTCTCGTTTCCCGTGATCAAAACCATCAATGTCGTTACTAGTTCTCAGAGATAGGGGTTCATTCATGATTATCGCGTGTGAATCTTGTTTCTGTGATTTGAACATTAGCAGGAGAGTGTTTGGCTTGGTAATGGACTGCAAGTAACATTTACGACAATTCAATTGAGAATCCAATCGTAAAATTTGCTACAACATGTCAATGTAAAACTGTTATAAGGATTCTTTTGTGGTAGTGGATCATTTTAGATAAGTTAGGATCTGGATTTCGATACATATTTATCAGAAGACATGGTCTATCTTGGTAACAGGTATTAAGAAATGGCAGAAGGTGAGGATATTCAGCCCCTTGTCTGTGACAATGGTACCGGAATGGTCAAGGTACTTGCTTGCTTCCATTCCTTTGGTCAAAGTTGCTGTCACTGTTTATCGAAATCCCAATGTGATTGCTGCCATGTTTGATTGGACTTCATTGACTTTTTAATATAGGCTGGGTTTGCCGGAGATGATGCTCCGAGGGCTGTCTTCCCTAGCATCGTTGGTCGTCCTCGCCATACTGGTGTGATGGTTGGTATGGGCCAGAAAGATGCTTACGTAGGTGACGAGGCTCAATCAAAGAGAGGTATTTTGACCTTGAAATACCCGATTGAGCACGGTATCGTCAGCAACTGGGATGACATGGAGAAAATTTGGCATCATACCTTTTACAATGAGCTCCGTGTCGCGCCTGAAGAGCATCCGGTTCTTCTCACAGAAGCCCCTCTCAATCCCAAGGCAAATCGTGAGAAGATGACTCAGATAATGTTTGAGACCTTCAACACCCCTGCTATGTATGTGGCCATCCAGGCCGTCCTTTCTCTTTATGCCAGTGGCCGTACAACTGGTGAGTTAGATTCGACATCTATAACCTTTGTCCGTCCATTTTGTTGATTCGTTAAAATTTAGATAGTCTGAATTCCGAAGACAAAATTGACGTTATTGATCTATAATGGGTAGCAGTTAACATCATTACCAACTTTGCAAAAAAGGTCAAAATGTTAGCTTCGTTAACTGGATGCATAATTCGGATGTTCTATATTCATAATTAGATCCGCAGAAAGGGAAAACATCTGTTTTTGGCTTAGAAAATGCAAACTTTCCAACTACAAAAGGCTTGCCGAATTGGATTCATAAGAAATAAGAAGATGACCTTCAATAAATGGATTCCAAATCTACTACACCATTGTGTGTTTCTCCAGGATACTGGTGATACCAAGAACAGTTTGTTTTTACCTCTGGTCTATAGAATAAGCTGCAGGAAAATAGGTTATGCTCTGTTTTCTTTTTGTTGACTAGTGATCTTCAAAATATTGGATGTGTTTGTTTTAGCTCAAGTGTATCAAAACAAGTCATGAATAGTTGTTCTAGGAAGTTAGATTGATGAATTATGTTTGTGTGAGCTTTTAAAAGTTCATTTTTTATAAGTCAGTTTTTTTGTATAGGAAACAGGCACGAACTATATCTATCAACCTAAGGCTTTTGAAAACGTGATTGAATATTAATATGGTCAATGGTTTCTCTGTTTCCCCCATTATAGGTATCGTTCTGGATTCTGGAGATGGTGTCTCCCACACAGTCCCCATCTACGAAGGATATGCACTCCCACACGCTATTCTCCGTCTGGATTTGGCCGGTCGTGATCTCACTGACGCCCTCATGAAAATCCTGACCGAGCGTGGCTACTCCTTCACCACCACAGCAGAGCGAGAAATTGTGAGGGACATGAAGGAGAAGCTGGCCTACATCGCACTCGACTACGAGCAAGAGCTGGAGACATCCAAGACCAGCTCATCAGTCGAGAAGAGCTACGAGCTGCCAGATGGACAGGTCATCACCATCGGAGCTGAAAGATTCCGATGCCCTGAAGTCCTCTTCCAGCCATCCATGATAGGAATGGAAGCTGCCGGTATCCACGAAACCACTTACAACTCCATCATGAAGTGCGACGTGGATATCAGGAAGGACCTCTACGGTAACATTGTTCTCAGTGGTGGCTCCACCATGTTCCCGGGCATTGCGGACAGGATGAGCAAGGAGATCACCGCGTTGGCTCCGAGTAGCATGAAGATCAAGGTCGTCGCGCCTCCTGAGAGGAAGTACAGTGTCTGGATAGGTGGCTCCATCCTGGCTTCCCTCAGCACTTTCCAGCAGGTAGTCTTCCTATCTTCTCTGTATGCTGGAAGTATGTTGTTTTCCTGTAGTTATATCGTTTCGGGCTTTTCGAGATCATGGTAACGGTTCCAACCAGATTCGTCATTGATTCGAATTTTCTGGGTCAAAATTGCCGGACATATAATATCTAACAGTCGGGATTGCTTTGGTCGTGCAGATGTGGATTGCAAAGGCAGAGTACGACGAGTCTGGACCATCCATTGTCCACAGGAAGTGCTTCTAAGCAGAATCTGATTTTGCCGAGGGAGCCTTGGCGGACAGTTCACATATACTATACCTTTTGTATCAAGGAAAGGGGAGTTCTACCTGAGAATCACGTGGGTTGCAAGCAACATTTTCTCTTTTCGTTCTGCCTTTTTCTTTTCCATATATTTTTTGGTTTAATTTTGGGTCTTGTGCTCTGTTCTTTATTATTCTCCTGGACAAGAAAAATATTTTTAATCGGAAGGTTGGTCGCAATCAGATCCATTTTTGTTTTTGGTGGAACCATTTTTTCTTCTTCTTCAATTTGATATTTGATTGGTAGAAGAAAGAGTTTTGTGTATTTTTGTAACTTGATTTGGTTGTGGGTTAAAAGTTATCAGGGCATTCATCATTCCTATTACATCATTGGTTCTTGTAAGAATCTATTTTGTTCTAAATAAGAGGGGAAAAAAAACATTATAAATTACATTCCTCTTTTCCCATGTTAAATTCATTTTTCTGTAGCATTCTCGGTAGTTGTTATTAACCTTTTGATACAACCGTTTGATGTATTTTAATATAAAAGACCAATGTGGTCCAAAGCGCGATTTTATCTAGAAGTGAAAAAGGACTAAAATTGTAAAGCGTATAATCAAAGCGTAAAAGCGTACGTTTTTTTACGCATAATATAAAATAACTAAAAATTTGTTAAGTATGACATATATACTATGTAAAATATGAGTGTACAAATTTTTTTTGTTAAGTATGACATATATACTATGTAAAATATGAGTGCACAAAATTTTGATAAACACTTGCAATTCATGTCTAAGTTGAGCAACTTTCCCACCGATTCCGAGGAAGCTGATTCCGTCCAAAATTAATATTTTCTTGTGGACCGTGGCTCATAAGAAGATCCTCACTTATTTGTTAAGTATGACATATATACTATGTGTCATGTGCTGCAATGCAAGGGAGAAGAATCCATTGTCACTTGTTTGTCGAGTGTGATTTTACCAAAGATGTTTGGAACCAATTGAAGAAGGTCTGCAATAGCGTTCAATTTCCTTCCAGAGATATTGGCGACACCATCTGGAGATGAAATACCGATTGTCCAGCTGATATTTGTGGTTCGATTGTTTATTGCGCTCTTCATTTGAATTGCTGGCAGGTTTGGTTGGAAAGAAACCAACGTATCTTTAACGATAGCTGCCTCGCGACCATTTATGTTTTTTAAAAGGCAGTACGTGCGCTAATGGAATGGATCATCGTGCATGGAAAAATCAGCAGAGAATAAGGAATGAGTTGGATGAGAACCTACTTAACTTGCAGATATTAGTTTTGGCTCTTCCAGGGACGAAAGGTTGCTGCATGTTGTCGGACGTTGCTGTGGGTTTTCAACTTGTTTGTTTTGGCTGCGTTAGGTTCTTTTCTTGTTTGCTCTTTTGTGTTCTCATTGGTAGTTTTGGCTGCTTTGAACCGGCTCAAGATAAGGTGTATAATCATGGGTTATCCACCTATCAATAACCAAATCTGGACACTTTATTTAGAAAATTCAGACTTAATGAAGGAGAATTAAAGATCATTTTTATTTTTTCTAGCTTTCTTAATTGACTCATATCTTTTTCGTTTTAACTTGGATTTTAATTTTTTTGCACAGATGGAATGAGTTCATCGTACCCTACAAAATGAGATCAATTTTCAATATTTTTTGAGAAAAAAAAATTCTGGCCACTCGGTACCAACTGCATACCATATGGTATCTTCTTCGTTTTTAATTTGTTTTTTAAAAAGTTTGCACAGAAGGGACGAGTTCATCATGATCTATTGGATCTGCAAATTTCTGGGTGAACAAATTACAGGACCAAATACCAAAAAATACCATACAATACCACCCTGGTGCGAGGTGGTATTGTGTGGTATATAATATTAAAAGTCGTAAATGTCAATTAATATACTTCTACTATCATGTATTCAACCATCCTACAGTCTTGGTTTGTTCATACCACCATGGTACATTTTTCAAATCATAGGTATACTTTTATTTCAATACCAGTCAATACCATATGGTATAGACTAGTAAAAAATGACTCAATTTTTTTTGTTCGAAAAATATATTAAAGTGGATATCATTTTGAAGAGTACAATTAATCTGATCTAACTGTGCAAAAAAAATTAAATTTCGACTTAAAATGAGTGAGAAATCATCCGTCAAAGATTAAAGAGGGGAAAATTAAAGGCTTTCCAGGAGAGAGAAGATGCTGATGTCATGCTGATGTGGACGAGTTACTCATGGTTACTCAATATAAGGTGTATACACGGATAAATACGTACGTGTATACACGTATTAAACAGAAAATTTACTAACTAATAACTATGCTTGGGTTAATGACTTTTTTTTTGTTTCATGGAAAAGGGTACTTTTGGCTATTGGTGATTTAGATTAATGAATAAATAAAAAGGAGCTAACCAGAAGAACTATAGGAAACCAGAAGAAGAAAGAAGATGATTTAGATCGGTGAATAAATGAAGAAAGAGAAACTTAAAAATAATTACCGCAAGTTAATCTTAAATATTCTTACTAATTAATATGGATTTTATAGGTGGCAAATCTCTATTGGCTGGGTGCACCACATAAGCATTATGACATGGTGCACCGGGTGCACTGAAGTTTTTCTCAGGTTACTGACCTGATCCATTCCCCTTTGAACCTACTGGTTCCTTTTGTTTCCTTTCCTTTTTTGGACCAGGTGTGTAGGGCTTTTCGGTTTGCCTAGCCTCTTTGTTCTTTGTTGTGTTTTTGGGTATGCACATCTTGTGCTACTACTTGCTGTTTCTTTGTTTGTTCAGATTTTGTAGTTTTTATTAATAATAAAGTGATCACCATTATATAAAAAAAATAAGTTTATAAACATAGATCTTAACAATAAATTCATAAACATAGATCTTAACAATAAGCACCTTCCCCTCTATGCTAATGAATTTGGGAAAGGCCTAGCTTGTGAATTAGATTACTCAATTGGAGTTGAGAATGTATCCAAGTACCTGGTAAGTATCTTTTAATCTCCAATATATCATATTGTTGGTGATTTACCTTTAAAATATACGTTTTATAATTAATTTAATGAAAAGAATACTCATTAAATGAACTAAAAGTGTAAAAGCGTAAAGCGTTTTGGTGAACTAGAAGCGTAAAAGCATAAGCTTTTAAGCTTAAAGCGCAATTTAGTCTGATTTTATACATTAAAGATTTTATATGGAAACGAAAGCATTTTGGTGACCAAGAAGCATAAAACTGTAAGCTTTTAAGTTTTAAAGCGCGATTTTGACTGCATTGTAAAAGACATTGTATATAATACAATAATATATGTTCGAATTTATCATTAATCATACACAATTTCAAATCCATATCATCTCCCATCAAAAGTTCCAACAGACTAGTCAAATTGTCTAACAAAAGAAATCATACAAATTCAAGTTAGTAATTAGGGTCATGGACCATGTAATACCAAATCTATTAAATTCAAGTTAGTAATTAAGGTCATAGTCACTAATGGACCACGTAATACCGACAATAAGGCTGACAAACAAAGAAGAGAAAACATAAACAAAATTAGTAATTCAAGTTGGATGTTCTTAGTTTACATTAAAGTATTTTTCATCTTAATTTTTTTCGTGGTTAAAACAATGAACTCGTGGATTAGTCAAATCAGGGTGGTTCATCTGATTTCATTTTCAATCGTGAAAATCGTTCGGTCCATCTTTATTCGTTCAAACAAATGGAATTCGGTTAGCTTAACTACCCCCGGGTAATTGATTTTCGACACCTCACTTATAAACCGTCCATTTTCATTAGTATTAATCCAATGGTTAAGATTAAAACAACTGTTAATTGGGCATTAATGATGTAATTAAGTTATATAACTACATTGGAAAGGGCAAAAAATCGGGTATTGAGGGAAATAATTACCCTTCCCCCTTTTATCTCTCTGTTTGGTCTCCTCCTCTCTCTCTTTCAATCACCTGTCTACCAGAACCCTCCCTGCCATAGTATCAAGCGACACAAACATATCCCATCCTGCCACCTTTACAACATTGATCGGCCCATCCATTCCATCGACGATCCTCCGGCTTCCCTCCCAAACCCTCCCTTTCCAATGACCCTCTCCTATCCGCGGCAGGACTTCCTCCTTTCTCATTGACCATCGTTCATATGCGGCAATGCTTTGATCAACTATCATCTAAGTGTCGACGACATGATTTTCCTCTCCCCTTCCTACTTCGGTGAAAAATCTGAGGTAGCTCTCTCTCCCCCAAAACCATATCTGGATTTTTCATGTGGTATTAGTACTAGTGCAATATTCTTTTCATTATCCAGATCTGTGTCTTTGATTTTCCAGATCTGGATTTTTTCATGTGGTATTAGTACCAGTGCACTGGTATTGGTACTAGTGCGCTGGTATTGTTACTAGTGTACCACTCCAGTGATAGTTGGTTCTTGGATACTGTAGTGCTATTTCTATGACTGCAATCTATCACTACATTGATAGTTAACGGTGTGAATGTTCTTGTATTTCTATCACTAGTGCGGTATTTGGTGTACAACTGTAATTGTACCATTGATTTATACCACAACAGTGATAGTTGTCTTACATATTGATCTCATATTTCTATCACTGAATTGATAGCTCTAATTATTATGTTTACCAGTGGAAGCAGGAACGGCAAGGACGACGAAACCGTATCCTGCGGTGCAAACAGGGAAGAGGCTTGCAAGTGATTCGGGCTCAATTGTACACTTTTTACCACCTGTTTCCTTAGTCGTTTGGGGCATTTTTACTCTGGGAGGTTTGGTTTTACGCTGGATTTTGTCTCGATTTTGTGCATTTCATGCTATAAAAGGTGGAACCAACCCCGAAATCTAAAGTTGGACGAAAAGGCGAAAAATCGGGTCAAAGGATGGTGGTAATAGCATATCACGGTGAAGCTGTTAGTTCACAGTCAGGGAGACCATGAACTGGAGCCGCAAACCGTGAACCGCCAGGCGTACAGAGACATTTTTGCTTTCACTGGACTCAAGCCAGTTCACGGTCGTAAGACCGTCAACCAAAGCTACAAACCGTGATTTGGATTATTGAGACGACGCGCTTTGGTCTGGGATCACGGTCCACGCCTTGAGTTCACGGCCGTGAACTGGGACCGTGATGTGAGCCCGACCTGGGTATAAAAAGGGGTTTGAGATGAAGGAGAAAAAGGGAGAGACCTAGTGTGAGAAACTTTTTCTTCTTCTTCAAATTTATAGAGTGAGAAAGTGACGAACCAAAGAAGAGAAGAAGCTAGGGTTTCATCTTCAAGCAAGGTTTTGGGAATTCCTTCCCCAAAGGAGGATCTCTTCAACACAAGGAGCAAGGCTAGCATATCTATGATGTTTTCCCTTCTCCTAGCATGGAGTAGTCCCTTATTTCACTTGGGTTTTTGTAAACCGTAGCTACAATTATGTGAATGTTTGTATGGATTGAATGATATATGCGTGGAGTGTTTTAATATGAACTTGGAGGTAGTTTCATGGAAGATTTTGTTGTGTATTAGCCTATCC